TTTTTACGAAACATTTTAACATATTGTACGAAGGAAAAGGTACGTAAAATTAGAATATCATAACATCTTTGTGTTTTAAATATTTATTTTTATAGGAAATATATAAATTTATACAGTATATATACAAGTATACATATAAATTATAATGTCGTAAATTAGGCTTATGTAATTTTTTGTTAGCACTCATATTAAAGCCGCATCTGCCGTGATAGAAGAAAGAAGCAAAAATTAATTGTGCCCTTCAAAGTGGATTTAATAGTTTCATATTTTATGAGAAAGGAAATTTTATTTCCGTTCACCCTTCCCAATGCTGGTCAGTTCTCCCTACTGTGAGTTTACCTTAAGACTCTCCAAGCTGACATATCAAAAGATTTAATGTCTTGTTAAGAAGTATTTGTAAATAATTTTTACAAAGAAAAGTCTGAAAATGAAACATTCATTTTAATAGTTATGTAATTGACTTAAATGTTTATAATTGTATTTCTTTCAGGAAATAGAGGAATTTATACTAAATTTATTGCTTTGTTTCACAGAGCCAAAACAAATGCTAGTAACTTCATTAATTAAATTTTAAAACCTTACTAGAAAAATATTTATTACAATAATAAAACGGTATTTGTGTTGTGCACTTTTTAATATTCCACGTATCCTCATTATCATCATCATCTTTGCAAGAATTTATTTAATAAGAGATAAGCATAAACATTTAAAAGACATTGTAGATACTAAAAGTTACAACTCAAGCAAATGTATAATTCTATTTCTTAAATTTGGTGTAGTGAATACGACATGGAAAACAATACATTGGATTTTCTGGAAAGTAATTCAACATCTAATGCTACATCCATTTATTATATCAACAAAGATCTTAAAATGACTCAGAATATGATTGCGATAGTTTCCCTAATAATTATAATGATTGCTATGGGTGCAGAAATCACTCGGAATCAGGTATTATTATTTATTTCACTTTATTTCTTGTTTAATTAGCAGTAAATATTACATTTTTTACGTTAATAGATTTATAAAGAAATCCGAAAACCCGTTGGTCCAGCTATTGGACTCTTTTGCCAATTTGTTATAATGCCATTGATTGGATTTATTTATAACGTTATATTTCAATTCGAATCGAGTCTAGCGACTGGTTTGCTTATTATATCATGTTGCCCCGGAGGTGCTGTTTCTAACGTCTTTACATATTATTTGGATGGCGATGTTTCCCTGAGGTATGTAAGAATTGTTTACTATATTTAGCTACAGAGAATATTATCCATAAAATTAATATTTACCATGTCATAGTGTGACTATGACTACAATATCTATCGTAGCATCCCTAGGCTTGATGCCTTTGAACCTTTGGATATATGCAAGTAATACAGAAGCTAAGAACTTAAAAATACCTTATAAAAATATTGCATTATCACTATTAATGATTGTTCCTCCCTTGATTTTGGGTATGATAATAAAATGGAAAGCTCCTAAAGTATCTTCTTATATAACTAAGGTATAAAACATGATTTCCTAAATGGTTAAGGCGTTAATTTTAATCATTTATATTATATTATGAAACTATTTTTGTTTTCATTAATACTGGGGAAGTGCAACAAGTATGATAATGATTATAATTTTCGTGATAATGGAGATTTTTTCTCTCAACACATGTTTAGTATAGTATCGTGGAACGTTATTATAACCTCTTTATTATCTCCCATAACTGGAATTATAACTGGATATGTCATAGCTTTCGTCAGTAGAAACTCCAAAGCAGCCTGCACTGCAATAGCTATTGAGAGCGGGATTCAGAATTTTACTGTTGCATTCGGCATTATTGTTTTATCCTTTGATACCTCCGTATGTATGTCTTTGATTTATATTGTAGATTGTAAGATTCTGATTTTTTGTTATTAAAAGGGACTTACACTTAGAAACAAACATCAATTATGCTGTTTCCATTCTTTTATGGGCTATTTCAAGGAGTATTCTGTTGTCTTCTCTCCCTAATTTTCTGTTTTATAAAGGGTAATTTGAACAAAATTCGAATGCAAGATAATGACGTCGACGATTCACAAAATACAGGTGATTATCATTATTTAAATTATTTATTTATTTTCGTATATTTTATATTTTTGTTGGTGTTGATTTTAAGTATTTTTTGTGATCGTGGATATCATTACTAACTAAAATTCAAATTATCTCTACACGTCACATAATCGGAATATAATTGGAAACTATTATAGTATTCAATGTTATTCTTAATCCTCGTATGTTGTATCAGTGTTGTTTAAAGATGGAGGGGAGTAATGTATCATATCTCGAAAGAGGATGAAGTTAATAAACATTTTACTCATTATTAGCATTTATAATTTTTAAAAATTTATCTATATTTATCTCTATTTGTATTATCTATAGCCTAATTAAGGCTTTTGCAATTTTATTACAATTAATAGTATAAAATTTGTAAAATAAAATCTAATAATAGATAGCGCCATACAAACTTTTATTAATTAGCATTAACAATATAAAAGTTAGTTTTTAAATAAAATTTCATAACAGCCGAGGAAGTTACACAACTCGTTTCTGGATTTTTTAATTTGTATGACTGGCTGATTAATTTCAATACATCGTAGCTTTGAATATGCATGGTGCTTGTAGGTTGTCTACAGCTACACAGCATCACTAAATCAAGTTTATACATCAATCTAAACTCGATTTAGTATTTATTATGTATTTTCTGAAACAAAATATAATAAATCAATCCCATAATATTTGTATACATATGTATATATTCAAGAAATGGATTAATTGCGATCTGTAGTGAATAAAATTGTTGTCAATTATATTGCTGACTATTATGTAATGAGCTTCAAATTATTCATTAAAGATATGTTTTATAATGTAGTGAAGTCAATAGTTAGAGATAAATATTGAATAATAAAGCTGAAATCATAAGTAACAATGCAAATTGCAGGTTTTCGTAATATTAACATTATATTCCTCAAGCTATCCACACATTTACTAAAATGTTTTCATCTTTAGATGACCTCTTGCGCGTTTATCGAAAGATTTCTTTGAGCCACATGTCTCAGGCGGTGTCAGTCCTGACTCGGGCGGGTGCTGTTTGACCTTTCACACTTTGAATTTATGCTCTTGTAGAATTTCTCAAACCCATAAATTGTCTTACATGAAATTCCTTTTCAACTTCCATCGTTTACTTTTCACACAAGACTCGCCAAAAATCCTCCAAGAAAAACCAAAATGACAGTCTTCAACGGACTTATCAGCCGCCCGCGGCGATCACATTTATAATTTTCAATAAAACTCTATCAATATAATATAAATTTATACTGAAAGAAATTTCGTGTGATCTGGAAAATTCCTGATTACAGAGAAATTATTTTAGATATCTTCTATAAACTTCGTTGCCTAATAAAAATTTCAAAATTACTATTCATAAAGTTGGTTTTCATTGAATCTTTAACAGCTGAAAGATCAGTTTTATTCTCGTCTGAAGATTCGACACAACCGAAAGTCGACATAAAATAAAAGAATCATTCTATGGTAAGTTTTCCGACATATTACTTTTAAAATAATTTATTTTATATGTAAT